ATCAGAAACTCTCTAGTAAAGAATCTTCTTTAACTTTTAGACTAAATGTTCCTTAAATTTCTTGGGCTTTAACATTTTTCCCTAAACACTAAGAATTAGCATAGCAGGGAACCATTAGGTATCCTGTGGTACAAACTTTGATTAATTCTACATTAAGTTTTTAGAAATCAAATCCTATTTACCTATGATTTATATCATCATTTCAGAAAGTTGTCTCTCTTTTTTTGTTTTGGTTCTAATATTTTAGCTTGAAGTTTAATTTCTAAATCAAGGTCACAGTTTATTAAAAAGCCTTACCAAAAAATGAGAAGAATGTTTGGCGAGTTATTTAGCAAAATGCAGCTTCCTGAAGAAAGGGAATAACATGGTACTCAAAATTACCTTTTGTGCACTCAATCACTCATTCATTCATTCACTCATTCAACTATTTATTACCAGAACCAGAATGATGCAACGGGGAAAAATTCAATGAGGATGCGATGAGTCCTGTGACAGAGATAAGAATAAAAAAAGACTATTTCTCTCCTCTCTGGTAAGAGGTGAGGAAGTAGACAGGTCAAAAAATCACAGCAAAGCTGATAATGGAAATCAGGATTTCTGGTTGCAAGTGACAGAAACCCAACACTGCCGCCTAGCTTAAGCAAAAGAGAGAATGCATTGGCTCATTACTTGAACTCAAATGTGGAACTGACCTCAGATATGATCAATTCCTGGGGTCAAAGGACATTATCAAGATTCCTTGTCACCATGCTTTTCATCTGTATTGTCATCCCCAGAGCTTCAGTCATTGCCAGTGTAGACAGGCTTTTTCCATGAGACAAGGAGAACAGCAGACCCCAATATATTTCAAATTCTTTCAGCAACATGACCAAAAAAGACAAAGCCTCTTCTCCACCTCTTTCTCGGTCCATCAGTTGCAGAGAAGTATTCTTGAGTCCCAGACTAGTCATCACATTCTAATCCACACTCAATCCCAGGACCAGACCCAGGTGCTTAGGCGCCGGAGCCCCAGGTTCCTCTCCCACAAGAACTCCAGGGTGGCATTGGAGGTGATATAATTGTTCACATCTCTGGTTTCATACTGTGTAGGCAGTAAAATGGAAATGAAATTTCCCAAGCAAGAAACAGAAAATTTGCATGAAATTTCAGAGTGTAACTTTTAGGGGTCATCTTTTTAGTTCTCCTTGCTTGGATTTGGATTTTCTTGCAGGTAGCAAGGTAATCAGCTCAAAGACATAATGTATTTATCTTTTCTTACACATTTTGTTTCTTCCTTTACCCTACATTCACCTTTCCTTCCAAGAGACAAGTAAAACCACTGTTTTTAAGAGAGAAGCAATATCAGCTACAGTACAAACAGGATATGTGTTCAAGAATCAGACAACCAGGGCTGTGGATATAGCCCAAATGGTAGAGTGCTTGCCTTTTATGCACAAGGCCCTGGGTTCAATCCCCAGTACCACAAAAAATAAATAAACCAGAAAATCTTGACTATTCTTCTTAAGAGATTATTATTATTATTATTATTATTATTATTGATTTGTTAACTTCCTCCAGTTCTTAATTGTGTGTGACACAGTATGTCTTAGTGCAACATCAAATGCTATTGAGTTTTGAACTAGGAAGGCATAAAGAAAATAATTTTATGATCTTATGATAATGCTTATTCAAAAAATAAATAAGTAAATTTGAATAGACTGTTACTCAAAGAAAAAAAATTTAGCAATACAACCAATTGAATAATTTTAAATATTTAAACACAACACCTGCATGTTTCTTTAACAATGCAACAAAATACTTAGGCTTCGTTGGAAATTCTTCATAAGGATTCTTGAACTTTGTCTTCCTAAGGCAAATTCAGTTTAGCGTTCCTGCAACTGTGCTCTGGGAACCCTATACATCAAAATTATGTGGAGGAGCTTATTAAAGTGCAAATACATTGGCATATCTATTGAATTAGAATCTTTTGGGGGAAGTCCCAGGAATCTTGTTTAAACTTTGTAAATGACACTTCTGCACCCTAATACATGAACTCTCTTCTAAAACTTTGGGTGTTTAATTAGGATTTCTGGTTGTAGTGTCAGATATTTTCATTTCTTTAAGATGGGATAAACTTCTTGTGAATTCCATGAACTTCATTTTGTTAGGAAAATGTAATTAGCAATCCTATGGGTCATGCAGTTTTGAAGTTCTGTCACAATAGTAGCTATAGGCATAGTTATATAAAACAGAAGTCCTTCAGATTTAAAAACACTCACTCTAAGTAGGTCACATATTAATGCGTAGGAAAGGTAAATTCCATTATAACAAATATATAACAAGCAATTCAATGTGATATTCTTATAATGGGTACACTGCAAGAATTGACTGGTGATATTTAAGATCTAACTGAAATTAATCATAGCAAAATTTAACAAAACTCATTATAATTGTAAACTTTCTTCCACATGAACAACCTCACCTCTTTATAAACAGAATTTTACATAAGGCAAGCTACAAGGAGTTAATATACACACCCCAACTTCTCCCCTCAACAATATGGCAGGAGCTGCAAAGTCCAAAGACCCTGTCTCTAAATAAAATGCAAATGAGTCTTAGGGATTATGAAACCATCCCCTCCTACAAATAAAGAAACCAAAGATCAAATCACATGGCTGATGACAGAGCAAGATAAAAAATCCCAAAGTCCTGATTTCCCAGTCCGTCTCCAACCAGAGTGCATAATTAAATAATTCCTCCTGAAATAGCCACTGTGCTCAAATATGCAATAGTAGTTGAAAGCAAGCATTTTATATAAACACAACAAATAAGTTATGGAGTAAAAAGAAAACACCACATAAAACATGAGACTTAAAATAAATTCCATTCAGCTACCTTGAATTACTCATTGCTACTTTCTTATAATTCAGGCCCACAGTACAATCATTTGAAAAGTCCAGTACTACCTCAACCTCCCTATCAAAATCTGACAAAGCTAAAACAGAAGAGACAATGTGACCCCAAAATAGTCATGGTTGAGGTTTATGCAGATAGACGCAGTATGGTTGAGAAGAAACCAAGCAATGTTAAGTTCTTCACATAATTTAAGCATCTGCTATAGACCTGAGCTTGGGTTTCATTTATTTATTCTATTTCTCAATAGTTAAACATGGAACACCTACTAGGAACTAGAAGCTGTGACATGCTCTTGATGTACCAAAAAAAAAAAAAAAATCAATTGACAGGAAAGCAAAATTCTACCCAAAATTACAGTGTTTTGTATTACAGAAGAACTACTAAGCTATGTTGAGTCAGAAAAGTCACACAATGGAAATGACATTGGTTGTGTCTAGAAGTACAACCAGGAGTCTATCTGATGGAATAATGGGAAAGGGGAAAAAAATCATTTCAAATATTGAGAACAACATATGCAAGGTATGAAAAGTATAAGGAGTAATCAGATAAGCAGTTGGAAAGGGAGATCCAGAGAAGACCTTATTATAGACAAAAGCATTGATTCTAGCTGGGCACAGTGGTGCACGCCTATAATCCTAGTAGCACGGGAGGCTGAGTCAGGAGAGTTGTCAGTTCAAAGCCAGCCTCAGCAATGATGAGGTGCTTAGCAGCTCAGTGAGACCCTGTCTCTAAATAAAATTCAAAATAAGTCTGGGGATGTGACTCAGTGGACAAGTGCCCCTGAATTTAATCCCCAATACCCTCCTACCAAAAAAAGCATTGATTCTGTGCCATTAAGCACAATGTGGCCAAAGCCAAATTATTTTCTAAAACAATAATAATCTACCATCCTTGGCCAAGAGACTGGTGACTGAAGGAGAGTATCTTTGAGAATCAGCTTCAGAAATAAATCTATTTTTATGTTTCCTGTCTTGAGAGCTTTAGACACCCTCCCAGCTCTGAAAGTCCACTTCTTCAAGCAAGACTTCTAGGATTTCTAGAGTCCAAACAAAATCCTTGGAAGAAAAAAAAACGCTTAATGATCAAATTAGAGGCAAAATTATACATCCCATGGTTACCATAAAATCTGATCTCTTTTCAAAGCCCCTTGGTATGTAAACTGTATAGCAGTATTTTTGCATTGATGAGAGACAGTGGATGATATAGCTAAGAGTCAAACAGGATTTCTCTATTTATAAGTTGTGTTTTCTTTTTTTTTTCCCTCCCCCCTCCCCCAGGGAAGTCACATATCTCTTGGGACACCATTTGTCTTACAGTAAAAGCCCTGCTAGTCTGGCATGAAGCTCAGGCATGATGCAACGCAGGGCACCTGTCATAGGGTCTATATTGGGCCTTCCACTGGGGCAACTGAGTTATGTGAGGACTTACCATATAGAAGCCATAAGGAATATAAAAATAAATCTGAGTTGAATTTTGCTCTCATGGAACTCACAATCTCTAGGGGAGGTCACAAATAGCTATCCTGTAAGGAGAGCAGTTACTACGAGAGAAAACAGAGGAATCACTGGGGAAGCTGGGAAGAGAGAGAACTTGCAGTATGAAGGGACTTGGTCGGAGAAAAGGAACTAGGATCTGGCGTTGAGCCTGAAGACAGGAGAAGCTTCTGAGAAGGCACTTTGACTCCTTCCATGTGTTTGCAAGTATCCATCTGACCCTCTCACGGATGAAATAAGGAAGTGCCACAGATCACCCAACTTCACTACTGCAGTTCTGCAGCAGAGCAGAATTGAGAACTCCCCACTCTTCATCCAAAGCATTCGCCACATATCACTCTGCCTCTTAAAACTGGGACCATTTGCAGGTGTCGAGGACAGGACTCGTTAGGGAAAGCAGCAGAAAGACTGTGATGGGGCAGTTGACCAAGGTTCCAGGACTGGGAGAAGGGACTCAGCTGGGGCTGTGAAAGGGGAGAGCAGGGGCGGGCCAGGGGACGGTGGGTGGGAGGGCAGACCGAAGGGCGGGCAGCGGGCGCGGGCCGCCCTCGGGCTGGGGGCTGTCCAGGACACTGGCCCAGGCTCGGGAGCCGGCACTCAGGCTCGCTGGCCATGGGGCAGCGGTCCCCAGCGCAGCGGCTGCTGCTGCTGCTGCTGGTGTTACCGCCGCTGTCCCGAGCGCTGCGCGGGGCGCGCTGCCCGGAGCCTTGCAACTGCGCGCCCGACAGCGCCCTGCGCTGCCCCGGCCCACGGGCCGGCCTCACCAGACTGTGAGTACACCGCGCTGCCCTCCCACGAGGGACCCTCGCTCACTCCAGGCCACCTGCCCTGCCTACTTCTTTAGCCCTCTTTGCTGAAAGCTGGGAGAAGGATGCTTCACCCTATCAAACTTCCCCTTTAGGATGATGATACTCCTAAGGTTGTCTGTCACCCAGTCCCCCTGGTAGCCCAGACCCGCACTTTCTTCATGTTTGAAACCCAGGCAGGGGGCATGGAACTGCCTAGAAGCCCCAAGAGACGTCCTGCTTTCTGCCTCTGCGAAAGCGAACATGGGTGCAAGGCTCTTTAATCAGCAGTGGTCGCCGCCAGAGAAGTCTTTGTGTAGTGTTTGAGCCTGGGCCAGCCAGGTCAGTGGGCTCTGCCACCCTATGGTGCCAGAATGGAGTGCTCAGCCCCTAGGGCCAGGGTGACCTGATTTATCAACAAGGATGCTGGCGGGCCTACTCCTCTACCTGCATCCTGGTAAGCATACAAGTCCCTGCCTTGGCCCTGCCCCCAGATATTCTTGCACTTCAGTCTAGTAAGCTAAGCAATGAAAGGCCTTGTGTCTAGTTCCTAGTATGCCCCCACCTTCACACCCACAGACATGATTAAGGGAATGTGTGTATCAGCAAGCAGGTGCAGGAGGCTGTTTGTTGAAGTCATACAGTAAATAGGAGGAGGGGACCATCAGGTCTCCTTTCTTCCATTTAGAAAAAGGTTCCACATATTACATGATTCTATTTAATATGAATAACTGGATAGACTGAAAGTAGATCACAAGTTCCTAGGGGTTGAGCAAGTTGGGAGGCAAGCCTTACTGCTAACAGGTGTGGGGTTTGGGATGAGGGAAAATATCTAAAATTAGATGGTGGCAATGGTTGTACATGAACATACTAAAAATCTTGATATTGTACACTTTAAATGGGTGAATTTTATCTTACATGACTTACATCCCAATAAAACTGTTAGGAAAGAAATGTTGGGGGTTGTATCCAAAACACACCTGGCCAGGAGGTCTTCAATATGTTTGAATTACTTGAGACAATTGGATTCTATGTTGGGGATGGAAAGAGACCACCCCCATCTTCTTTGGACCCCAGCTGCCTGTTCATGGAGGAATTCACCCTCTCCTCAGGGCTGGACTTTTCCCTGTGGAAGAATTAATGGCCTTCTGGGAATAGTTGTGGTTGAGAGAAACAGTTTAAGGGTTGAGGGGTTTATATTAATTAGTTTCCATTAATTATCTTGTCAGCTCCATTCCCTGAAGGTGATGACCATGCTGATAGAATTTGTTTCAATCAATCAACAAATCCATGGAACCTGCCTTCCAAGTTCCAGCCCTTGCCCTTCCGTGATAATCCTCCTGTGTTTCTCTTATGAATGATTGTGCCACTAATAGCAGTTTTCACTTGCTCAGTGCTTACACAGATTAGAAGAAACCATGATCCAGAGAGATAGAATAACTTGCTCAAGGTCCCATAACTATTGAATAGCAAAGATAGCACTTTATCTATTAAATATCTTTTTATATCTATCTTTGTAAGAAAATTACCTCTTCCTTAATTAAAAAATACTCCCAATTTCTCCAAGTTTGGTACTGGGTGGAGAAACCCCTGTAGCAGGGGAGAGGTAAGGAATGGGTGAGACAAATCCTAGCTCACCTGGGATTCAACTTTTCACTGAGATCTCACAAAGCTCCCCCACAGTGCTGCCATAATTATGCTGGCCTCAGGAGGGGACCTTTTCCCTGAAAAAAAGCTGAAGAAAAAACAAAAACCAAAATACTCTATCTCATTGTCCCACAGCATGGTTGGAAAAAGCCTAGAACTAGAAGCCATTAAAAGATTTTGTGAGTCTGTGTGTGTGTGTGTGAGTGTGCGCGCGCGCACCCGCATATTAAAGCCAGGGTCTCAAACATATTAGGCAAGCACTCTACCACTGACCTACATCCCCAACTCAACTTTTATTTCTGAACCATATTTTTTTGCGGTTATGGAGACTGAACTCAGGGACTGGCATATGCTAGACAAATGCTGTACCTGTGAGTTACATCCTCAGTCCATCCTCAAGATTTAACAGTGCTGACTAGAGTGAGGGGTAGAAGTGGGAGACCCACACAATAAAAGGATAGCTGGCAAGTCTGGTTCTCAAACAGGAGTCTGTTCTCCAGGCTCTGAAACTCTTTACCATCCACAAGGTATTCTGGAGAAAACTTCTACTTCTTCCCTCTGCGGGCCCCATCTTAGCATCCACCCCTGCCTCCCAACATCCTCTCCAGGATATTGAGAGCCTTGAACCAAACATGATAACTTTCACAAGGTCATGTTTCCTGTGGGCCAGATGACTGAGCGGTAACCTTGTCTTTCAGGTGAGAATCCAATAGAGGCAGAGCCTATGTATGATAACTTTTGGCACAACACAGTGACTCCAACATCCATATGACAAGAATAATGTGTATGAAGCAACAGGAAGGTTGTTATTCAATGTTTCTCAAAGTGTGATCTGGACCAGCAGCATGAGCACCCAGGAAATGTTAGACCTGTGTTCTCAGGACCCACTCCAATGAACTGAATCTGAAACAGTGGAGGTGGCACCTAGTAGTCTGCACTTTGGCAACTCCCCTGGGTGATTCTGATGTGTGCTCAAGTCTGAAAAACAGGGCATTGTTTTTTTTGTTTGGTTGTTTTTTTTTTTGTTGTTGTTGTTGTTCTTTTTGTTCTTCTTCTTTTTTTTTTTTTTTAACCCAGGGGCACTTAATCACTGAGCCACATCCCCAGCCCTCTGTATTTTTTTTATTTTGAGACAGGGTGTTGCTAAGTTGCTAGACTGGCCTTGAACTGTGATCCTCCTGCCTCAGCCTCCCAAATTGCTGGGATTACAGGCATGTGCTACCATGCCCAGGCATTGTTCTTCATAGATATAATCCTCCTGGAGAGCAAGAAGTATATTTTAAACTCCTAAAGCCATACATTTTCCTTCCCCATCTTCCCCCTACCCACCATATACACAACACCCACTTATTGCAAAAAGGCAATAAAATTAAAATCTTAAAATCAGAGAGAGATAAAAAATAAGCAAAATGAAGGAAAGTTTGTTTTATTAAAAGAGGAATAGAGGAAGGAATCCATGGAAAAGGATAGACTGAAGGTATAAGGGATGAGGAAAGAGTCATATTTATTGGAGGAAGATCTCAACAAGGAAAGAGGGAAGCGGCAGTTTAATAAGATAAGGGAGGAGTTGATTTTGAGAGAGCAGGGATAGCTCTATGTCCTGCGGAATGGAGATAGATGTCAAAGGATAACTCAGTGTTACTGCTGAGGACAGGAAAAGTGGGCAGGCTCATGCTGACATCCCTTGTTCTTGATGATGACTGAATGAAACAGTAAGTAATCATTATAAGATTAAAAAATGTTGTGAATAACAAGTTTTCAGGAGTTCATAAAAAGAAGAGAGCTGAAATTATGAGAAGACTGCAGTCTTGCACTAACTTATCCATAGGGCTTGGCTCTGCAGAAAGAAGGGGAGCACCCCAGACTCTGGGGGTTGGGGTAAGCAAGTACCTCAGAGCACACTGAAATTCATCAGCATCCATCAGTAGATGATCGTTTATGCATCAGTCATTTCAGGTCTTGATAACTCTACTTTCTAAGACCTTCATCTAGAGTTCACTATTTGTTTTAAAAAGTAGAAGAAACAAGTGCAGGAATTATAATTGCTTGTCACTGATGAGCCCACTGCTTGAAAATTTTGAAAATGGCACTACTCAAATTGTTCATCTCTTTCCTCACCTTCCTTATTTTATTAACAACACAGGTATTTAAAATCTAAAATATGATACAAGAAATAGCCCATATTTTCACTTGTTCTAATTGATTTTAATTTTTTTCCTTTCCTTTCTCTTTCTTATTAGTTCCAGGCAAATGGAAAGAAGGGGGTGAAAATCTCACCTTGCACATGGTTATATAAAGATCTTTGTCTCTATGACAACAGAAAGGTTGATCTGCTTGATATGGAAACAGCTTCTGAAAAATCTGTTAGTAAGAAAATGCTAATAATAATTGTGGCAATTTATTTTTGAATGTTGTGCCTGCTAAACAGAGACGAAACTTTTAAACTATATTGTAAGATACAATCCAAAGACTCTGGAAGGATAAAAAGTATGTATCCACCAGTCCAGTGTCCCTCTTCTTTCCTGAGTGTCTTTCTCTTCCTTGGAAGTCAGGGTCCCAAACAGCACTTCAGGCTGTAGAGGTAGGCACATATGGAGGTGGTGGCTTCTGTCCTTGAAGTGGCAACACACCCCAAGAAACTAGTCTAGGTGGGAAAAGAGAAGACAAGGCTGTAAGGTTTTAGAGAATAGGTTAGTCACTATAGCATGAAGTCCCCAAGGGATGACTTCTTGGGCCAAGTGTGAAGAAGATAAACCTTGAAAGAAAGAAGGGAAGAAGAGTCACACAGAAGAGTCCTTGCTGGGGGCTGGGGTTGTGGCTCAGTGGTAGAGTGCTTGCCTAGCATGTGTGAGGCACTGGATTAGATCCTCAGCACCACATAAAAATAAATAAATAAAATAAAACTATTGTGTCCATCTACAACTAAAAAAAAAAAATTAAAAAAAAAGTCCTTGCTGAAAACCAAAGGAAAAGGCTGAGTGGACTCTTCCCTCTTCATGCTTCCCCCAGGTTCTCTGGGGGGAACTTTTTTTTTTTAAGGGAAGATAAAAAGCCATCAGAAATCTTTGAATAGTTTCTCAGAGGGCTGTACAAAAAGAAAATGAATTCTATTATGTAATTCTTGACTAATAATAAACTTACAATAAAAGTCCTTCTTAGGTGGCTGGTTACAAAGACATTAAAACCATGATTAGGAGTCACTTCCCCATGAAGCCTTCCTGGATGTCCACCACCAGAAAGTCCATGCACCGCTCCTAGCCTCCAGCTTCTCCCCCAATAGGTTTGCTTTCATAACCTGCACTTGCATGCATTTTTGCACATATCCTACCAGAATATAA